TGATGAAGATAACTTCTTTAATACTTACAAAGTAAGAATGATCTGGAAGAAGTCAAGAATTATCATAGGATGGAGCCCAAACTGATGACAAAGAATTGTACCTTAACCTATGGGAAGATGTCTACAGCTCTGCTATTTACCTAATCATGATTGAGGAAATTTCAACCTCAAGTAATAGTAATGAACCTGAACTGTTCTCTACTAAGATAATTAATAGGTTAGTCAATGTTGAAATTCTAAATAACAAACAACAGATAAAAGCTGTACATATATTAAAAAGATTTTGTAGCTTATTTGCTTCTAGATTAGACAAATTGGGCCAGTATCAAGAAATACAACATGAAATCGATACTGGTAATGCAAGGCCTATCAAACAATTAGTATATCAGGTTTTACCAGACAAACAAGACTTCCTAACTAATGAAATAGAAAAATTATTAAACAACAAGTTAATTAGTGAGATTAAGAGTCTCTGGGCTTTACCAGTTGTTATCATCCCTAAAAAAAATAAAAAGCTCAGATTATGTGTTGATTATAGAAAGCTAAATGCTATCACAAAAAAGGATGTGTTCTCCTTACTCCGAATCAACGATTTACTGGAAATATTCAGAAAGGCCGAATAGTTTTCTTCTCTTGATTTAGCCAGTGGATACTAGCAAATAGGGATGAAAAAAAGAAGATCATGAGAAAACCGTATTAATAACCAAACAGAGCATATATATTATAATGCTCTTTGGTTTATATAACGCCCAGCTACATTTCAGAGAGCCATGAATAACATTTTATTTGACTATATTGGGCATTTTATAGCAGTGTACCTGGACGATATAATTATCTATTCCAGAATATACCAGACCACTTGGCACATCTTTCAAGCATATTTGCAAAAATACAGAAGGCAGGGCTAAGACTAAATCTGGAAAAATGTGATTTATTTAAAAATAACATTCATTTCTTAGATCATGTTATAGGAAAAGAAGGAATAAGACCAGATGAAAATAAAATAACCAAGGTCAAGGAAATTCCTATCCCAATCAACCTAAGGCAATTAAGAGGCTTCATTGGTCTGGGCTCTTATTATCGACGTTTTATCAAAAGCTTCTCTACAATAGCCAAGCTATTGCATAAGTTATTAGAAAAAAGTATCAAATACGAATGGAAAAATAAACAGGAGCAATCCTTTAATAAATTAAAAAACCACCTTACAACAGCCCTGATCTTAAGGTATCCCAACTTCGAAAAAATGTTCTATCTGCATACAGATGTGTCAGGTGTTGGACTTGGAGCTGTGCTGGCCCAAAAGGAAAATAATAAGAGAGAGTATGCCATTGTGTATGCTAGCAAAAGCCTAACCCAACCTGAAAGAAATTATTTGACTACTGAGTTAAAATGTTATACAGTAGTCTGGGCAGTTAAATATTTCTACCATTAATTAGACTACAAGCCTTTCGTGATTGTCACTGATCATTTGGCTCTAAAATAGCTCTAAACTAGTATGTTAAAAGGTAAAAGAGCTCATTGAATCCTACGGCTCTAGCCTTATAATTTCACTATTGTTCATCAGGCTGGTTGAGTGTATAATAATGTGGATGCATTATTCAGAATATTCGAAGATAAATATAATATGTTTAATCCTTGCCAAAAAGCAGCTGATATGGGAAATATTGATAGAATATATTAAAAAGCTACAATTTTTGGACCTCAACAAAGCTAGAAGACCAGGCTGATCATTTGACAGAAGAGATTGAAGTATTTCATATGATAGCTGAAGATTATCTCGACGAAAAAATTGAAGGAAAAGATGAAAATCCATTAACTAACGTTGAAGATACATGGGATGACATGTGGACCAATCGGTAAGATAAAGAGGAGTTTGATGATATCTGGAAAATGAGAAGCAACATAGGGAGTTAGTTTAGTAATTAAATGACGAATTCTATAGAGAAATAACCTTGACAGCACAAATAGGATATCCATTACTGTCAGGATCTGATAATGAAATCAAAATGGATATTAATGATAAATATTTGATCGATTTATCTAAATGGTCCGACGATGAGCTGGAATTTAAGAACAGCGATTATGAAGCATATGACCCAGGATATATTCATAATTTCTATATAGGACATGGTG